GAAAAAAAAAAAATGAGCCTGCTATATTTGGTCAAACATTTAATTGACTCACCCCTAACGCCTTGAGGGGGCCAGACCAAGTGATTTCTCAGAGCTTATATGGCCTGCGGGTGGACGTTCCCCACTCCTGGCCTAAGGGCTAAGCAAAGGAACACATCTGACCCTCTAGACCAGTGATGGTGAACCTCTTGAGCTCGGCCTGTCAGCATTTTGAAAAACCCTAACTTAACTCTGGTGCCGTGTCACATATAGAAATTTTTTGATATTTGCAACCATAGTAAAACAAAGACTTATATTTTTGATATTTATTTTATATATTTAAATGCCATTTAACAAAGAAAAATCAACCAAAAAAATTAGTTCGCGTGTCACCTCTGACACGAGTGTCATAGGTTCGCCATCACTGCTCTAGACGGCTCTGCGCTTGTCATGCCCCCTCCAAACAGGAAGGAAGACACTCCTGAGAGGGGGCAGGGACCCCTTGGCCCCAGCACCCGCCTCTGCGGCAGGAGACAGGTTCCTGGGAACTTGGACAGGGCTTCGTCCCCGTGCCCTCCTGCCCGGCTCAGACCCTCGGCAGCATCTTCAGGCGCCTGTCCCCCCATGGGAACTGCTCTGACCCCGAGAGAGTGACTCCCCCAACACTGTCCACAGCCAGCATCGCAGCTGCAGGGCCCACGGAAACCGCCTTCCTCTGACCTGACCTTTGTGTTCGAGGGGACAGAACCCGGGACCCCACGACGCACCACTTCAGCATGCAGATCGTCCGAGCCGAAGGCAGTCAGGCCTAACGCGCCCAGGAAGAGTCTTTTTAAAAATATATGTTTTATTGATTTCAGAGAGGAAGGGAGAGGGAGAGAGAGAGACGGAAACATCCAGGATGAGAGAGAATCACTGATTGGCTGCCTCTGGCACGTCCCACACTGGGCACTGAGCCTGCAACCCGGGCATGTGCCCTGACCGGGAGTTGAACCGTGACCTCCTGATTCAGAAGCCAATGCTCAACTATGGAGCCACAGCAAGCAGGCCACCATTCTCCTCACTTGTGACGATGAAGGTCTCCTCTTTCTTAGGCTAAAAGGGGGGAACTCCTGGATCTTGTGAAAGGCCTGCCTCTTTGTATCTCCTTTCCGGATGCCTCTGGTGTCCATAGTTAAGCCACGAAAAGGTGTGTTGGTCTGAGTACTTACTGAGGTTAATATAAGACCTTCACTTGTGACGATGAAGGTCTCCTCTTTCTTAGGCTAGACGGGGGGAACTCCTGGATCTTGTGAAAGGCCTGCCTTTGTATCTCCTTTCCGGACGCCTCTAGTGTCCATAGTTAAGCCACGAAAAGGTGTTGGTCTGAGTCCTTACTGAGGTTAATATAAGACCCTACTCATCAGTGGTCAGACAGTGACCCTTTGGATTCACTACATTTAAAAGAAAACCCCATTTTTTCTAGAGAGCTCTCATCCTAGACAACTGTCTTACTGGTACCCGTGGAAAGACCAAGGCGAAAAGCGGATTCAAAGGAACGTAGCCTTGGGGAACGCCTTCAGGAAGATGAAAGAACAGGAATCAAACTTAGAACTAAAGTCCACACCCAACATCCACGCCCCTTGCGGAAATCCGGCCCCACCTCCTCAGCACATCTGAGCTCCCAGCAGCACCTCTGCTACCGCAGCTCGTGAACCGTTAGTGACGGAGCGAGGGAGCCAGGCATGTGGGGCAGGGCCGCTGGGGGCACGGCCTGTGTGCTCCACACCCCTCCCGGGAGCCACAGGTCCCTCTGCAGGTCACAGGGGAGGGGACACAGCATAGGGGGAGCGAGCACATGGTCCGTGGAGGTGAATGGCTCAGGGAGGTGCCTGACCACAGAGGCCGGTCAGTCTCACCTGGGGGAGAAATCATTGGCCGGAGAGTGGGAAGTTTCCGAGAGCTTGGGAAGATGATTGGTTATGTTGAGAGAGCTCACGGTTAAAACCCTGGGGGAACAAAGAAAATCCTCCCTCCCCCCCCCCCCCCCCCCCCC